CCGCGGGGTGCACAGTACTCCTCTCGCATGCACTCGTCCACGTCTGCAGGGAGAAGATAGGCAGCGGTACCTTCTGGGGATGTTCCCACCTCCCCACACACTCACTGCCCTAGTCTCCAGTGGGGAGACCTGAGCCACTCACCCTCACACACGGTGCCATTGGCCAGTTGGAAGCCCTGGGGACAGAGGCACTGGTAGGAGCCAGCTGTGTTCTTGCACTCGCCTCCCAGGCAGCTGCTCTGGAGGTCTTCACACTCATCCACATCTGCAGGTCACACAGGGAGGAAGGCAGCCGATGGCAGTAACTCCCAAGGGCAAGAACCAATGCGGAGGTCTCCAGAGGGCCTGTCACCTGCCTGAGGAGACTGGACCCATGGGGCATCATCCCCTTACAAAGCCGCACAGCTGAGAGGAGCTGGTGAGGGAGACTCTGGGGAGCAGAGTGACTGCAGCTCCCTGCACTTCTGCCCCAGCCCAGCAGGCTCCCCCTGCCTCTGGCTGGGCTTCTGCAGCTGCCCGCACAATGCCCACCTTAGGGACACTCAGCCTCTCCCAGCAACCCTGGTCTAGAGTGGCCAAACTTTGCTTCCCTTGTCATGGCTGAGATGGCTTAGATTTTACTGAGAAGCAATGGGAAAACAAATGAGAAATAAACCAAGGAAACAGATTCAGAGAACCTGAGAAGGTAACAGAAATTAGATTCTTCAGATTGGTCTACAGGTTACCTGGTACAGGCCAATGCTTTTCAAACTACAGTCTCAGCACGCACATGTATGAGGAACCCTCGGGGAGTTTGTTAGAAAACAGATCTGTAGGCCCCCAGCAGAGCTGATTTAACAGGTCTGAGACAAGGCCCAGGACGCTGCATGTTGAACAAACTCCCCCAGCAATGCTGACACACACTGAAGCTTGTAAGCCAGTGGCTCACTGGCCCCCTAGACCCAGGTCTGCAGTCACCTTTCTGACTCCTGTTGGAGGAGGGATGAGAATAGGTATCCCCAGTGGGCCCGCCATCCGAGATGGACAGAAGGGCCCCCGGTCTAAAACAGCCCCTGGTGGGTCCTGGTCACTCCCTTTTCTGAGGGTGATGGGTTAGCCATGCTCTCCTCCCCCGTGGGGCGCTCTCACCTTCACAGGTATGGCCCAGGGGGCTGGGCTGGTAGCCCTCCTCGCAGTCCTTGCAGGAGAAGGAGCCAGCAGTGTTGGTACAGATTCCTGAGGGGCAGACTCCCGGAAAGGCACACTCGTCTAGGTCTGGGGCAGACAGCCAGCCAGTTACCCAGGGCCTGGGAGGGCTCCCTCCACGTGATGAGGCAGGAGCCTCCCCATACCTTTGGCCTCCCTCCCTGAGCTGGTAGGATTCTCTCTGGGCCCCTGGGGAAGGGCAGGCCCTGGCTCTGGGCCTTCGATAGGGCAACCCCAGCACCCTCTCCCTAGAATGCTCCTGGGCAGCTCTACCATCCGCTTCCCTCTGGGCTCTGTGACTCCCTTTTCCTCCTGTCCTCACCTCCAAACTTGAGGGTTCTTTGGGAAGTAAGAAGGCCTATATTCTCAGTTCCCCTCTGCCAACCCCCTTCCCAGTGTCACCTTCACAGGCAGTGCCGTCTTCATTCACCCAGTACCCGCTCTCGCAGGCTGAGCAGGAGAAGGAGCCCTCAGTGTTGAGGCAGAGGCCTGCAGGGCACGAGGCCCGGCTGGCACACTCGTCGACATCTGAAACAGGCCATTGAGTTCTGTGTGGGATTCTGCAGGACAGACATGGCAGGATAGCCAGAGACTGACAGGAGGGCAGGTAGGGGAAAGGACAGGTCTTGGCTGTGTTGGGTCAGTATGGTTAGGGATGCAGGACTACAGGTGGATTAGGAGTGTGTGTGCAGAGGGAAGGAGCTGTGGGCTGATTTGCTTGTGGAGGAAGGTGCTTCAGCATCTAGTACCTTGGCAGCCCTTCTCATCTGAGGTGACCTCGTAGCCCTGCTCACAAGAGCATCTAAAGGAGCCCTCCAGGTTGATGCACTTTCCATGGGTGCAGACCCCGGGGGTCAGACACTCATTCACATCTGTGGGAGAGAAGTCCAAGAGGGCAGGCTGGCCTCCTCTCCTTCATGCAGCCCCCATTGTCAGGCTTAGAGCATCTCAATTATGAGGCCAGGGAATCAGCATTCAGAGGAGCAATAGGCCACCTTGGGAAGGCCATGGGGTCATTCCTCCTCCTTGCCCCACCCACCTAAGCAGGCCAGGGTGCCTTTGCCCCCTACGCTCACTTCAGCTCTATCTAGTAACACAGAGCACCCTGCATATGTCCTAGAAAAGGGGGCCAGGTCCTCCAGCCCTGGGCTGGCTTGGCCCATCTGAGGACACCCAGAGTGAGGTGTCCAAGACCCGTGACTCACCTTACAGTGGGTCCAAATCTCTCTGGCTTCCTACCTGCCAACTGAACTGGTATGATCCCAGGTTCCAGCCCAACAACCAGCATCAGTAGGTGAGTGGGCAATGCAGAGGGAGGCCAAGCTATGCCTGGGTGGCCGAGTGGCAGTCTCAAAGGCCTGGGAAATGTCTGCCCTCTCCAGAGCCTCAAAGCATCTATTCACAACTCAGGCCCTGCTGGCATTCTGAACCCCAGGCCCTTCTTCCTGAGGGGGCTGAGGGAAAAGAACATTCCTCCTACAGCTGACACATAGCCCCCTCTGGAGGGAGAAGAGTACCCACAGCTCAGTTAGGCACTGCTATTTAGACATTGCTGTGGAGATGCCGAAGAGCAGAAGACGCTTCTTCTCTGGGAACCACAGCAGGGACTGGCTGCTGGCTCACACCACCCAAGTCAGCCTCTTCCTAAGATGCTCGGCACCTCTCTCTACCCAGCAGGATCCAGCCACAGAAGTTTCTGGGACCTTGGGCTGTTGCTTCTGAACGGATATGGCCAAGGAGCCAAAGGGCCCCCACCCTAGCTGATTCAGAGGGCAGAGCAGCAGTAACTGAAGCACACCCATCTCATGCCCGACGTCATCTGGGAACCCAGCTGGATCATGGGGGAGAATAGCCTCTAGGCCGTTTCCTCTGCCCACTTCTTTCCCTCCCTGTGTGAGAGCTTAACCAGAGGTCCCAAGGCCAAACAGCCCTCTCTGTGCCTTGGCAAGCAGCCCTTACCTATACAGCTCCCGCTCTGGCCCCTGTAGCCCTCCTCGCAGGCCAGGCAAGTGTAGGAGCCAGGGGAGTTGACGCATCTCCCATCAGGGCAGGTGCCAGGGTGACGGCATTCGTCGATATCTGCAAAATAACAGCCCCTCCCTTGGTCATCCCTGGGAACCACAGCACATGAGTAGTTCGGTGAGGAAGCAAATCCTTGACCCTGCCCTTGGCTGGGGAGAGGGAGGGACGTCAGTTTCTGTACAGATGGAAACTAGGAAAAAGTGAGTGTTGTCTTGTGTTCCCAACTCCACCCCCCACCCACTGTCCTGGACAAAAGAGAGAGATGGAAGAACTTTAGAAAGGGAGACTCCCTGGGTGGGTACAGGAGGCTGTGGTTACCACTAGGTATGGGAGGGTAGAGAGCTCTATTTGTGGACTGTTGGGAAGGGCCTCCGTATCTCCCTTGGTGACTCCTGTTCCATTACAGTGGTGACAATTACTGAGATCGGCTGTGCTTGGCACAGCAGAGGCCCCAGCATAGATCACCAACTGGGCAATGAAGGCAAAGGGGGCTTCCCTGCACTGGGAAGAGGGACTGAGGGTGAGTCCAATCTTGGATGCAGCCAAGACCAGCCCTGAGGCTGCTGCAGAGTTAAGGTGGAGGCTGGCAAGGCTTCTCTGCTAGAGAGGAGACTTTGCTTCCAGCCAAGAACCATGCAGGGCTACCAGTACCCACTCTGGTGAGATCCAGGAAAGTCAGCCAGAAAAGATGAGCCTGAGCACCCACTGGCCTAGCAAGGGAAGAGGGGACCCATGGAGGGAGAGGAGGAGCCCGACCAGGGAGTGACAACAAGGAGGAGGAGGGAGATGTTGCTCCCAGGAACTGCAGGCAGGGTTCTTCCCCATGTGACCTGACATATCAGGAAGTCCATCATCCAAGGCATCCGGGGACCTAGGGAGTTAGGGAGGTCATATCGCAGGGACAGAACTGTGGGTTGGGACCACAGGAGGACATTACGCTCCACTGGCCCAGTGTTGAGGCTCCCAGTCACTACTCATGACAGACAGTTCGACTGAGCTCCAGAGGAAACAGGAGGATTTACTCTTCCTAAATGAGTCATTGTCATTCTCCTGGAGGAAGTCCATCAGTTTACACAGATTCAGAGGCCCTACTGCCTGGGAGGAAGACCCACTCAGCATCCAGGAAGAAATGCAGGAGGCAGGGCCAAGGGTCAGAACACAGCCTTGCTGCAAAGGGACTAAAGTGGGCAGCTGTCGTTACAGAGCAGGACATGGGCCCTCAAGTTGAGGCTGAAAATGAGTCTGCCCTGAGGTTGTTTGGTCTGCAGAAGACAGGACACATAAAGGCCCTCTATCCCAGGGAACAGGGCCCTCTCAAGGCCAAAACTTCACCCTGAGGGTCCAGAAGAGTAAGACATACACAGGGCAGATGGTTATTCAGGTGAGTATCTGCAAGGAGTTACCCAGAACTCCTAGGTAATCTTGGGAACACTGAGATAAGGCTCATCTCTGGAAGACAGCAGCCAAGAGCCCCTAGCTGGGTTGTGGCAATACCAGCCTAAACTATTCTAAGGGTTTCTATAAAGACGGAGATGGAGAGAATGAGACAGAGATGGAGGGAATGAAGGATCCAGGACCACCAACTTTGGCCACCCAGGAGAGAACAGCCAGCACCATGGCCTGCTGGCCTTGCCTGAGGTACCAGAAGGAGGGTGGGCAAAGCCACTGGGAATGATAAGCAATCCCTGCTTCAGGGATGCAAGACTTCGGAAATGAAGAGAAAGAGAATGAGGCAAGGGTCCTCCTCTAAGACCATACTGAGAAAAAAAATGAAGTTCTTGGACCTTTCCCACAGGGATCAGGCAGTGTAGGACAGATCAGATTTACCAGAAGCAAAGAGCCCTGAGGTTTGTCCTGCCCCAGATGTTCTGGGTGCATCTGTGGAGGTGGTACATGAAGCGTCTTATGTTGGGCATTAGAAGACGTGTGGTGCTAATGCTGTTCACTAAATATCCCAGCTCTCCATTGTCTGGGCCAAGGTGGGCTTGTGCCTCCTGGTCCCTTGTGGTTGGGTGGGGTCAGGGGACTAGCGCTGGCCAAAGAGCTAAGAGTGGATATGATGTGTGTAATTTATGGACCAAAGCGTTTAATTGTGTGCAACCCTCAGAGTTCTCTCCCTTTCTTCCGTGGAGGCAGGTCACATTCAGGATGCTGGCTATTCCTTTAGCCTACTTCTTGAATGAGGAAACGTGGGACAGGACCCCCAGCTGACCCACGATGGACTTGTGACATTCATCGGAGAGAAACTTTGCTGTGTTCTGAGTTACTAAGATTGGGATTGTTTCTTAATGCAGCATAACCTGGTCTATCCTGGCACACCCCTGCTGGCTTCCTTCCTCGGACCAGAGGCCCAGCCAGGGACTGTCATATGTGAGAGGTCTGTCAGCAAGTGGGAGATGGAGGGCAGATCAAAGCAGCCCTTAGTCTCCACCTGAGCCAGGGTGGAGTGCACTTCTTCATGGGAGTGGATATAACAGAGCCTTTAGCCAAACCAGACAAAAGGTGCCAGATGAAGGTTCTGGATGTGGATTCCGCTTCTAATCAGTCCGTGTTAAGGGCAGACGCTCTAATGTCACCAGATATCCTGAGGCTGTTCCACCAACCTCTTGGTGCCTGTACTGGAGCCAGATTTTTCTGCCTGGTCCAGGGTTTGAATTTTAACCTAAGATTATGGTATGTTCTGGTAGGTTTTACCCTCGTGGTCAGGGGCAGGAGCTGTTTTATTTATTGCTATATTCCTCGCCCATGGCTGGGACCAGCTGGCATTCAACAAGTGTTTGCTGACCAAGGAATGAGACCATGTGACAAAAACTTCACCCCCTCTTCGTAGGAGGCTGCTGAAGAAACCCCAGACGACCCATGGAAACAGCCACCCTGGGGACCACTGTGCCGCCCTGCTGTCTGGACATGGGAGGATCCTGGAGTTTCTCTGACCAGCGCCTCAGTCTTTGCTTGAGGAATGTAAGGGCACCCGCCTCTGGTCCGTGTGAGCTCACAGGGTGGGGAGGGTGCCCAGTCAGGGCCAGAAGCTCAGGTGACCTTGGATGTGGGAGGGGACAGCAAAGCCCTGGCAGTCTGCAGGGGAATCTAACCCCTTTCCGTGGGAACCCAGAGTCCTGGTACAACGGAAATGCCACTGAGCCTTTGGATGGGCCGCTGTCCAGACCACTCAGGCCTTTCACCAGAGACTTTGAGTTTAAGTGGAGAGAGTGGTTTCTTAGTTGGAGAAAGAAGAAAGAGGGAGAGGAAATTGACTGGGCTCCCAGGGAGATGGGCCGGGTCTGTGGTTACTGATGGAAACCTGGAGAAGTGTGCAGGCTACATCAGTCTTTCTTTCAACAGACTCAGAGCGTCTGCCCTGGGCCGGGAACTCGGCCTGACCTCCCAGCCGAGGTGTGTGTCTGGATCCTTTCCTCCGGAAGGGAAGGGGGCAATCCAGAGGTGTGGGCCAGGGCGTGGAGGAGTCTAGACGTGAAAAAGAACGGGGCCCTCAGATAGTAACACTGTCCCTATTCACTGAGGGCTGTACGCGTGCGGTGTGGGTGTTAAGTTATGCAGTCCTCACAAGAGCCTCTGAGATGGGCATTATGGTTTCCATTTCAGATGTCGAGACGAGAGCCAAACCCAAGCCTGTCTCCACCAGAGCCTGTGCCCTTTACACAGACAGTAGTTCGCGTAAGTCTGATCTTTTTAATGTCCTGGTATTCTCTTGGTCCATTTCCTTTCATGTTGCTTTTCTTTTTAATAAAGTCTAACGTCAAACTCCTCTTGTTGTTGTGATGCTTCGACGAGGTAATCTATCAAGTTCCTAGCACAGCACGTGGCACTGGAGGTGCCATCAAATGCGAACTCCCTCCCTCTCCCTTCTCCTGGAAAATGCTAGACTGCTGTCTCCATCATGCTCATGAGAACAAGGGAAGGGGCTCTCGCTTTGATCATGCGGAGGCCTGAGTTTTAAAGGGAGAGGCGTTGAGAGGGGAAGGTGACACTCTGGGAGTGCAGACAGATAGTTGTCTGTCCTAAACCCCCGCCACCTCTCCCCTTTGTAAGGGGAGACTTTTTAGGACTCTGGACTTTGCTTCTGTGGCAGTGGTATTGGGAAGGGGGGCTCTCCCTTCACGAGGCACACCAGCTCATGCCTCACCTCCAGGGCCCTCTGAATCCAAGCAAGTCCTGGCCAGGAAAAACCTGGAGGCTGGGAGGAGTCTGGCCTAATCTTGGGTCTGGGACAGGATTTCTTTCCAAAGAGAGCTTTAATTTGCCCTCATTTATTCCTGTCTTAGCCAGTCTTGGGAGAACATGACCCAGTCCTCTTTTAAGCATTTGACACCCAAACTGGCAGGGAGGTGATAGTGACACAGCTGCTGGGAGCTGGCATGATAGTGCCAAGCCAGTCTGCAAGGAGACCAGCTGTCAATGTCACAGCCACCTTTTGACTGGGCCTAGGAAAGGGGACAAGGATCAGGGTTCATTCACTCATTTATTCAACTAACATTTGCTGGGGTGTCCAACACATGGACATTTATCAGGCGTCCACACATGGGTCATCTAAGGATATGGTCCAGCCCTGAGGCACTCACACCCTAACAAGCTTTAGCAATAGGCCAAAGCCCAGGAGCATCCCAGATAGACCGACTCTTCCTCTGCCCCGTGAGGAGAGCACGTGACTCAAGGTAGAGAGGCAGAGAAGGGATGTTCCTAGGGTCTCATGTAGATAAAGTTGCTTGTGCTCCCCTGCTGCAGGGGCAGACAGGATGCCAAAATCTCACTGAGAGGACAGAAGGGCTCTGGAATTCCCAGACGGGCTCTGTCCCTAGGCGTGGGCTTAGCATCAAGGGGCCCAGGCTGGGATAAGCTGGAAGGGGAGAGGGTGGGGAGGGAGCAGGAGATGGCGGGGGGGCATCCCATTCCTTACCTTGGCAGTGTCCCTTCCTGACCATGATGTAGCCCTCGTCACACTTGCAGTGGTACGAACCCTCCGTGTTGGTGCACCGCCCCCCAGTACACACCTCTGGCTGCTCACACTCGTCTATATCTGTGAACACACAGAAAAGTCTTAAGTTGGGGTCAGCCCTGCAGGGGGTCCTGGAGCGTCCCTTCAGAGGCCGAGGACAAGGACGCCCATGCTGAGGCCCAGGCAAGGAAGGCATCCTTGCTGCAGCCATGATTGGCAGGGTGCTCCTATGCCGGGTCCGAGACTGATCTAGCTCAGGCCCCTGCAAACCCCTGAGTCCTTTCTCCCAGGGGATGCTACTTGTGGGGCCTGAGGCCCCTCACTGCTGTCTCCTTACCCTGATATAAGGGCTGGTCTTGAGGTCAGGTGGCAGTCCATATGGCATGATCTGAGGAGGCCAACAAAGTCCCCCTTCTGACCCCAATACATCCCCCAGAGCTCTGTTTCTGGAGTTCTTAGGGCCCTTCTTAAAGGTTAGAGATTAAGCAGCCAGTGAGAGACAGCATCTTAGGCAGCTGTGGATCTATCGATGTGGTTTATTCCATTGTCCCAAAGCATGCTGGTGCCCCACAATGACTCAAAAGCCCAACCCTGGTCATGGCACTGCCCTGCTTCACACCTACCAGGGTTCCCTGCTGCTCAGCCGGACTCACAAGGCCACTGCCACCTGACTCCAGCCTTGCTGGATTCGCTGATCCCCACTGGTCTAGCCTCCAAACCTTTGTTCACATAAACACCTCTGCTTGGTTTGATGGCCAGCAGAGTGCTACTCCCATTTCAAGGACTGGTTCAACTGATCAACTCTAGGTTGCTCTGGCCACTCCCCATTCCGTGCCCCCACAGTCAAACTGATGGAGGATTCACCTTTGCCCCTCACCCCCAGCACTGGTCCAAACACTATACAGAGTCCTTGTACAGATTAAATGAGATAATCTAGGTGAAGGGCTTGGCACAGCGCCCATCCGGCACAAAGTAAGCACTGAAGAAATGTTAGGTATTATTATTATTCTGGCATTAAACCTATCTCATAAAATCCAAGCCCCTCGGCCTGGCAGGTGAGATCTTTCATGATCTGGCCCCTGCCTACTTCTCTCAGCTTGGTTCCTGCCTCTCACCCACCTCCTAGCCTCAGCCACACAGGATCTGCTTCTGAGCTTCTGCATGTACAGTTCCCTTGCCTGGAGTGGCTTCCCATCGACCAGCTTGGCTGTCTCCTACTCATCTCTCAGGTGAGGTTGACCTCTCCCCTCTGATCCATATGCCCCTTTCCAGGGCCATAGGATCCAGCCCTTATAGTAACTGTTCATTTACTTGCTTTTTTCTCCCTTACTGCTGAGAATGTGCCTTATTATCCTAGTGTCCCCAGTGCCTAGCATAGAACCCCAAAGAATGCTTATTGCATGAATAGAATAACAATTTGTTTATGCACAGGGTTTTCAGCTGAGAAGTACTTCATAAAACTTTAGTGCACAGCGGAGTCGCTGGCAGAAGGTATAAGACGCACACTCTCAGGTCCACATCCAGGGACTCTGCCCTAGCAGTACCGGGCAGGCCCAGGCACCTGCATTTTAATAACTTGCCAGGCAATTCGGAAATAAGCGGCCCTCCCTTTGAGAAACTCTAATCCCAATGGAAGAGAAAAGGAAACTCAGAGGTGGAGCCATGTGCGGGAATATGATAAGGGACCCACAAACCAGTGGGGTCAGGACGACAGCCTAGTAGATGAGGCTGGGAAAACTGAGCTGCTTTACAGAGAAAAATGGAAGTGGACAGGGAAAAAAACGGGACCTTAACATCCATAAAAAGATGCACTCTGGATAGATTAAAGCATGCCATGAAAGGCGAACTATAACTTCAATAAAAGCAAGTATAGGAGAATATCTTTGTGACAGTGATGGGGAAGGACTTCTTAAATAAGGCCCTGAAAGCGTAAAAAAATAAGGCAAAAAGGTGAATTTCCATACATCAGAATTAAGGGTTTCTGTTAAAAGAAGGACGTGTGGATAAGGTTAATGGACAGAGGACAAACTGGGAGAGTTGCAATATCTAAACCCAGCCAAGTATCTGGAATAAATAAAGAACGTCTAAAAAGCCACAAGACAAAACAGCAACCACCACTGAAAAACTGAGCAAAAGACAGGAGTAAACTATTTCCAGATAAGGAAACCCAACGGCTAACATACAAAGAGATACCGTACTTATTAGTAAAGTAAATGTTAAATATTTAATATTCAAATAATTTATTTCAACCAAGTATTTACATTTATATTAATCTGAATTCTAGGAATCGTAATCATTTATTTTAACTAATTATATAAATTAATGAAATAATTCCTAAATAAAAATAAATGATTAAAATAATGAGATATTGTTTTACAAGACTGGGAAAATTTAGAGAGTGGAGGCTGTCCTGGAGAAGGTCTCATTAGATGGCAGCCAGGCCCCACTGGGAGAAGCACTGACAGCTGACCTTGAGCTGCCTCCTTCCTCCCCCAGCTGTTGGATCTGGCAGAGACATCCCAGACACCCAGGCTGGCACTTGTCGGAACCCCTTGTCTGGGCCAGTCCTGGCAACACCATTCCTTGCAGCAGCCACTGCTTGTCCTGGCCAGCACCCCGGGCTGGGCCTGCAGCAAACGGTACCTCTGGCCCAAACTTGCCAAGGCTGCAGAGCCCAGAGAAGCCCCTTGCCCCTAGCCTCTCCTCTCGTTAACTCCAGGCTGTTCGGAGCGCTGCTGCCTGAGTCACCTCTCCGAGAGCCAGCTGACCGCATTGCCATCCACTGCTTACAGACCTCTCCTGGCTGCCACTGCCTGCAGGCCAGTGTCCAACCACTTCAGTCTGGCACTCAAGACACTTCACAAACTGGCCTCAGCTCCTGCCACTTCCTCCACATACCCCACGCTCCAGTCACACTGGATTTATCATTATTCCCAGAGCCTGCCAGGCTTGTCCATTCCTCTGCTGTTTGCAAAAATGGTTCCTTTTCCCTGGCACACCCTCTGCCCCCTCCCTTCCTTCACTATGCATGTAAAGCAGTGTGTTGTTGGAAGCCAACCATGCTTGGGGCCAGAACGACTTTGATTCTGTTTCCAGCTCTGCCGCAACGAGGCGTGAGGTCCCTGAGTGTTTCAATGCACCTCTCTGAGCCTCAGTTTGCTAAACCATAAAATGGGGATAAGGATTTCCACCGTAGGGGGTTGGGATGATGAACTTCATCAAATAAAGTGCTAGGACAGTGCGGGCCTAGAAGAAGTGCTCATTAAATTGTAGCTATTATTACTCTGTCCCAGCCTGCACAGCCCCGCACATTCCTCCATATAGAACCAGTTGCTTCCTCATCCCCCAGAGGCGCCACTCACACCGCGCTCATCGCAGGATCCCCAGACCTTACACAGCGCCTGGTGCGTGGCTGCTCAAGACTTGAGTGCAGAATGAGCGATGCACGCACTTCTCCCACTCCTCAGTTAGGTGGTTTCTTTCCTTCACTGCCCTCCCCCCATAATCAGGTGAGGAGACCTGGGTGGCTTTGCTCTCTGCAGACCAGATCTCTGGGGGATGAGAACTTGAGGAGACCCTGGCAATGGCAGGATACACAGCTTCCCCCGCCTCCAGGAGGCGCCTGTGAATGACTCCCTCAGCTGCCCTGACCCAGTCCGAACCAGTAATGTGAGCCCCAAGAACAGCAGTGTCATTCTCCAGGTGAAGTGTTCCCAGGGGGCTACGGATCTTACAGAAGGCACTGCATCATGTTCTCTGTGAGCTCATTCACAAACATGTGTGTGGAGTGTTTTGTACAATAGAATAGATGC